GCGCTCTTTCCTCCTGGACTCTGACCACGACCTAGCGTTCAGGAATGTTAAGCGTTACTGCTCACCCAGTCACGGCACCCTTCGACCGTCACCGTGGTCACTCCCAGACCGGGCGCCTCCCGATCTCTCGGCCTCCGGATATATCGCTTCAAGATCACGGCTCGGTAGACTGCGCTTAGATTCAGTGTGGCTCCGGGTAACTTTGACCGACCACCAGATCGCCACCATCAGACACTGAGATGCTGGCGATTGCCTGGGCTATGGCTGGTGCGCCCTGCCCTACCGGCCTTGGGCATTTCACCCTCTATAGCCGACCATCGCCCACATCATACCCATCTAATCTTCGTTGGACTTCCGTCGAAATCTACCGCCTCCGCGTCTCAAGGCCGCCTCGTGCTACAGCTGTGCGGCGCGCGATAGCTTCTGCGCATGCCAGGCGCCCTCTGCCTCCCCACGAGAAGCCCTGTTGGTATTTACACCTGAAAGATAAATCAACTGTACCACAGCCCGGCTCACGTTCGGTCTTCAGCCTTTAGCCGCCCTACTCTTGCTGACCGGGCGGCGGCGACGCCTCCATCAGACAATCGGACTCTCTGAGCTTCGCGCCGCTTGCCGCTCAGACCGGCATATGTCCAACTCCTGCGACTCATCGCTGGATTCCCCACCGCTTATCTCGGCATTCACGCCTCGCCCTCCCTTCAGGAAGCTAGGGAGATGGCCTCTATCGGGCGACTGGTGTTATCTACGGCCAGAATCATCGTTCGCTTTGCCTCGCTGGCGCGCACCTTATCCACTCGCGACGCCGCGGCGTTGAGGCCACCAGGGCAGAGCCGGTCAGACCGTCTTCTGGCTGGGTATTGGCGCCGATATTAAGAGCTCGGTTGGGCCTGTGAGCGTTGCCGCTCAGCCCAGCCAGGCAAGAGCGTTACCTGTGCAATGACCTCAGGCGGCCTTTGAGTCGTGTCGCGACTTCTTTAATGTGGGGAAAGTCTTTCCTGGTGGTCGCCCGGCAGGCTTCTCTGGATGGCCCGTGGTAGTTCCTGCTGGCCGAGACTTCCACCTCTTCCAAGGTCATCGGATCTTCCTGTTGCTTCTTCCGGAAGTAGTGCCTCCTCACGCCTCCAGTTTCGGCCAGCCCGACCCCAGACTTCAATAACCGGGGTTCAGAGCTTCCGCGGCTGAAAATCACCATCACCCTCCCCTCATTACCGCGAGCGAATAGCCCGCCGATGCAGCGGTAAGTCCGGAAAATACCTCATCTCAAGCAGCACCGGCGGGGAACTGGACTGCGAGATTTCGACGGGCCTGCTGGAACTCGTAACACCCTGCCTGAGGCTCTCCTGCCCAGGTGTTGTATGGCTGTTGACTTGTGTATGCCCCGGTCATTCTAGATGAATGGCAGATCAAGGCGGACGGTGTGACCGCCGTGGGGCTGCCGGGATGGCTGTGACGCTATTAGCGCCCGCGCTGCTTCTTCGGGTTGACCAGTCGGTCGCTAGTCGAATCAGGACCCGGCGTCACGGCTTGGACAAGGTCGGGGTAGTAGGTCGCTGGGCGTTTTGTTCGTTGTCAAGTCCGCCTCTGGTGGTGCGTTTGTGGTGGCGAAACAGGCGCCATCTCCGCCCAGTGCCATCCTCTGGTGACGGAGCTTCCTCCCGTCCCTGTGCCCTTGCTCAAACCAGGAACGAAGGTCGTCAGTTGATCCTCCATTGTTCCGATGCTCCTCGACTGTGGAAGAGTCCGTTGTAGCTGGGGATTGCTGGCGTGAAGGGGAGGGAGGTGTATGAATGTAAATACCAAGATATGTGGATTACGTATGGCGGCAGGACTCTGTTGCCATTCATTGTGCCATTTATTCATGTCTGTATTACTATTTTATTATAGCATGTCTGTTATATGCTTATTTGTCTAGTGCCTATGTTCATTTACTATGTAGTGTATATTTTTGTACAGCGTAGTCAAGTAACTGGGAGGCCTATTTATTGTCCTAGTAATGTCTTGATCTCTCTTTTGGGATAGTACTTCCTCAGATGCTTGGCCTGGCTGTTGCTTGAGTCCTTTTGCTTGTCCCTGTTTTTCTGTGCCTGTGGTTATCCTGCAAGCTTGTGCCTTATGGAATATGTCTTCTGCTCTGTGGTTTGGGTTTCAGGAGCGCTTTGGGCATCACACATTCCACTTTCGTTATCTGGCTCCACCCGTCCACCACTGCAGACATTGATGAAGAGATTAAACATCAGATCAGATTTGCATCTCAAGCACTCTGCCGTGTCCGCTGATTTGAGCCGAATTATCGACAAAATGTACGTATATCGTGCAGTGGTCCTCCACTGCTAAGCGGGCACTGGGTCACATACAGGAGGCACCTCAAGGCACTTGAAATCTTTCAGCAATGTAGTCAACGTTCCATCCTCTGGGTTCGCTGGGAAGACAAAGAGTAAATGCCAGGCTTCAGCTGACACTAACCATGCGAGCATCGAGGCTACCAATATCCATTAACAACTGCTGAACTGGCCAGTGTATGTTCCCTTATGGACGATAGTAGACTACAAGCACTTCTTACAGTCAACTAACGAATAGTAAACATAATGCTGGCTGGCAACTGAAAGGTAAGGATAGTCTTAAGACAAACCTGAAAGAGTGTAAATCGACCCCCTCCTGGGAGACTTACTCACACCGTGTTGTGGAGGCACCCACAAAAGTGTCTTTCGAGTTTAGCCGACTTCATACGCAAGGCAGAAAAATGCCAACGCGAGAACACTGCCGCCGCCCACTCGCAATAGGTGTAGCCTTCCTGAAGTTCAACATCTGTAAAAAGACACTGCTGGTCCTGTCAGCCTCTTTGCAATTCTCCAGAACTCACAGGGTGGAGATCCTAAAACTCATATCATTGTATCATAGTTTGATGATCGTATACTAGATTCCGAGTGATAGCAAAGTAGTGGTAGTGTTGTGTGTGTGTACGCAGATAGATGGTCATTGTTGATTCTACTAACAACAACCTCTTTATAAATAACTTACTGTGACTCACTTCCTACTATACACACTTACACACTTTATATACAGTACAGTATAGATAAATCCATAAAGACTATACTGGGTTAGAGATGCGTAAAAACAAAGGTTGAAGTTAAATTGACGACAATAAGAGAGTTCCAAAGGCCAGAATGCCTCTTAGGGACTATGTGGATATAGCACACTGTAATCTAAGTCATCGGTAAGTAAGGGTGCCTGGCCAACACTGCACTCGATCGAGGTTACTTCCCTGCTACAATCTCTATCGAAAGAGACGGTAAGAAAATATGAAATTTGATAACTGCTGAAGAAGGAAGAGATAGATAAATAAAGAGGAGAAGAAAAAGAGCTGAAATGATGGGAAAGAGAGAAGATAAAAGGAAAAAATAGAATGAAAAAGTGGAAGAGAAAAAAGCGTAATAAAAGAAAGAGAGGAGAAAGTAAAAGCAGACAGGTTAATTTGGATGATGTAACCAAGGGGACCGAGGGGGGGCAGTTACAGGTTAATAAAAAAAATATTTTTCTTTCTATTGCGTAAATGTTAGCATCTTGGGATGCGTACATCTTGACACATGTGTAGGTATGGATGCCTTTGTACAGGTTGAATATGTGCGTCTGTGTGTTTTTGATTGTGTACATACTTGTAACTACAGTACATGCTGTGTACATATCGCCAGTGTACATATGTGCGTTAACTACAGCTTAATGTCATCAGTCTTCACCTTTTTCTTATCAACCCAAATAACATGTTTTAAAGGACTCTACAGAAAAATGGCGTGTACATATTTGTTTGTTCGCCTCACAAAATTATTTTTAATGCTCTAGTTAAACCACACACACACACACACACACACACACACACACACACACACACACACACACACACACACACACACACACACACACAATGAAAGCCATATCAACATTGCGTGTTTAACAGGCTTGATACTCCGCCGCGCTCTTGTACCAGTAGTACGGAACCCATCACTCACGTCATTTTCACTGTTAATTTCTATTATAAATTATCACACACCTCGACATAAGACACATTAACAGCGACATAAATACAGTAGTTAGTGTCTATTATCTTGATGAGGGTCTAAGATGACACTCTTCAACTTAATTTACAACAATTCTGATGAGATTTTTTGTTTTTGTTTTTTTTTGGGTGAGAGCAGGATGTTTTTTTTATGAGGGGGTAAAAGTGAGTCAGGTTAGGTGAGGTTCATGCAGAAGTAAGGTTTATGTAGTGTGTTGTTTTGTGCGTGTAAATAAGGTTCATGTAGGGTGGCGTGTGAAATGCGGTTCATGTAGGGTGGCGTGTAGAAGTAAGGTTCATGTGGGGTGGCGTGTAAAGTAAGGTTCATGTGGTGGCGTGTAAAAGTAAGGTTCATGTAGGGTGGCGTGTAGTAATGTTCGTAGGAGAGCGTGTGAGGTTCATGTAGGGTGGCGGTAGCTAAGGTTCATGTAGGGTGGCGTGTAGAAGGTTCAGGGTGGCGTGTAGAAGTAAGGTTCATGTAGGGTGGCGGTAGAAGTAAGGTCTGCGTAGGGTGGCGCAGAAGTAAGGTCTGGCGTAGGGTGGCGTGTAGAAGTAAGGTTCATGTAGGGTGGCGTGTAGGCGCATAACCATGTAGGGTGGCGTAAAAGTAAGGTTCAAGTAGGGTGGCGCAGAAGCACGTTCATGTAGGGGGAAGCGTAGAAGCAAGGTTCATGTAGGTGGCGTAGAAGTATGTCCATGTAGGGTGGCGGTAGAAGTAAGGTTTATGTAGGGTGGCGTGTAGAAGTAAGGTTCATGTAGGGTGGCGTGTAGAAGTAAGGTTTATGTAGGGTGGCGTGTAGAAGTAAGGTTCATGTAGGGTGGCGTGTAGAAGTAAGGTTCATGTAGGGTGGCGTGTAGAAGTAAGGTTCATGTAGGGTGGCGTGTAGAAGTAAGGTTCATGTAGGTGACGTAGAAGTAAGGTTCATGAGGGGTGGCGTAGAAGTAAGGCCCATGTAGGGTGGCGTGTAGAAGTAAAGGTTCATGTAGGTGACGTGTAAAAGCAAGGTTCATGTAGGTGGCGTGTAGAAGTAATGTTCATGTAGGGGGGCGTGTAGAAGTAAGGTTCATGTAGGGTGGCGTATAGAAGAAGTAAGGTTCATGTAGGGTGGCGTGTAGAAGTAAGGTTCATGTTGGGTGGCGTGTAGAAGTAAGGTCCATGTAGGGTGGCGTGTAGAAGTAAGGTCCATGAAGGGTGGCGTGAGACTACATTAGACTTGTCTTGTTTTTCTCAGGCAAATACCAAGGTGTGTTGGTCTGATTACAGGAGTCATCTTTCATTCGTGGTCCGTAGCTGGCGAGGTTTACCGCCTGGATTTATCATTTTTTTTTTGCAGTGGAAGACTAACTCCGTTAACTCTGCTTACACTAACTTAAAACCCATCCTAACCTAATGAAACCTCACCTATCTTAACTTTATGAAACCTACCCACCTAAATTAACCTAACCTAACGTAAAACCTATCCTAATTTAACCAAACCTTGACTCAACCCAATCTACCCTAATCTACCTTCACCTAAACTAAACTTACCTAATTTAACCTAACTTAAACCAAGCTAACTTACCTGCACTTAATTAATTTTAACCTAACCTAACCTCGCAAAAGACATATGCATTAAGTAGATCAAGGAGAATAAAAATCCTGTTAAAAGTAGATGTTGGAAGCTGTTGGTAAAATTGTGTTTTGATTCGCTAAGCACCACGCCTCACCCTCCCCCAGCCTCTCCCCCTATGCTCAAGAGGAGGACTTAAGAACATAAGAACATAAGAATGGAGGAAACTGCAGCGGGCCTATTGGCCCATGCTGGGCAGTCCCATTTACACCCGACCCCTATTGCTCGTATATCCATCCAACCTATGCTTGAAGCTATTCAGCGTATTCGAGTTATTGATGATATTTGGTACTTGTTCCACTCGTCCACTACTCTCTTTTCAAACCAATGTTTACCTATTTCGTGCCTAAATCTAAATTTGTCTAATTTAAAACCATTGTTACGAGTTCGCTCCTGGTTGGATAGTATGAGTACATTTGTAATGTCCCCTTTGTTCAGCCCTGACCTCCATTTATACACCTCTATCGTATCCACCCTCACTTTACGTCTCTCGAGGGAGTGCAAATTAAGATGCTTTAATCTGTCTCTGACTAAAGGCTTCTAATTCCCGGGATTAACCTTGTCATTCTCCTCTGAATTCTTTCCAAGGATTCTATATCCATTCTGTAATACAGTGACCAGAATTGAACTGCGTAATCCAAGTGAGGTCTCACAAGCCCAAGATATAGTTTTTGGATAACCTCGCTAGTCTTGTAACTAACACTCCTTTGTATGAACCCAAGTACTTTATTAGCCTTGTTTCGAGCAAATACACATTGTTTACTTGGCTTAAGATTCCTACTTATCATAATTCCTAGCACTATTTCCCTGTAACCTTTCACTTTGTTTATAACTAAGATTTGCTACAAAGACGTAAAGAAAATTATCTTACACAGTATTGTCAGGAAGTTTTAGGTAGAAAAGTATATCGCTGTTTGGGTGTTGTCAGGCGTAGTAACAGTGTTGCCAGGAAGGTGTAATAACAAGCGTTGTGTTGCAGTATGATGCTGGGTACAAACCGGCGAGACTGGGTAACTGGGAAGTGGGACGAACATTCCCAGAGCGACCCAGACACCGCCGGGGTCCCACCAGGGTCATCGCTGACGACCGCGGCCACCTCCTGCCTGGTGTCCCCCGTACCCAGGCCTCCCCCTGGGGTCCCCTCACCCAGGCTATAGGTAAGTCAGAGACCTTCACGCCCACGCTCCCTCTGAGGCCATTACATCCATTCTTCTCTAGGTCCCCTAGGATCTTTCATACCCATGCCCCCAGTAGGATTGTCACCAACACCTTCCCTTGGGTCCTCAAAACTAGGCCTCCCCCTAGGGCCCACACCCTACACTTAGGATCCATATTTACCATAACCATCTTGACCAAAATTATATGATTTATTCTGAACTGTGATTGAGCTGCTTTTGACCGATGCCTGTAACCTTCTGAGATGAGGCCACATATTATCTACCAAACAGTAAACTGTTCTCTAAGTTTCTCACTATCTGAACTTATAGACACGTTCATTTAGCATCAGTTAGAAGCAACAAAATCTAAGCTCACACCTAGACTCCACTTTCACTCGACACCTTCGCTCAATAATAAGGTGATAAAATAATGAACATGACGAGATTTTGTGTACTTCGAACCTTCAGTCAATGTCTCTTGCAGACCCCAACCCACAGGAGCGACAACGGCGACAGACTGACCAACCACGACCCTTCCCCTCCGAGTCTGACGACGAGCAGGTGAGTCTTGGCTGACGGGAGGTGTCTATTGGTTGTCCGAGTCTATCCTAAACCTGCCTAACCTATCCATAATCTTTCTAGCCTATCCTTAATCCATCTAGCTTATCCTTAATCCATCTAG